CCAGAGGGGGAGTCCACTCTCACCGGTGGGAGGTCTCTGCACTATGGGGCTGCAGGAAAGGCTCGTCAGCACCATGGCTGCCACCATCTCATCCATCTCCACAGCAGCGTCGGCTTTCCTGCACCATGAGGGGAGAGATGTGAAACACGCGGAGGAAAAAGCAGAGAAACAGCCCGGGTACAACCCGGGGAGTCACTGGGCACCCAAAGGGCAGCACAACCTGCAGCAGCAGTGCAGGCTCCCCCCCTACTGCCTCCCGCCATAAACTTTTAGCCCTGACTGAAGAGTAATGGACACTCATGTACGGATGGCCTGAACTAAAAAAAAAAAAAAAAAAAAAAATCCCCTTAATCCTAAATTTAACCATCCTCTGGATAATCCTGTGCTAGTAAGGCGGATATATCCCCAGCATCACCGCTCTCTCCATTGGTGTAGAACCAAGCGCGGGTGCTGCCAGAGCCGCCGAGAGCCCCTCTCCCACCTGAGTGGGACACCCCCAGCCAAAGGCACAAACCTCTTCGGTACATCGATATTGCTGGATACGGATCTTTGCAGCACTTCGGCAGGGCCAGGACCGACGGCTGTGGGCAGGGAGGTAGGCTGGAGCACAGCCGGACGCACGTCCTGTGCCCTCCAGCACGCCTGCAAACCCTGCTCCGGCAGCAGCACCTTCACCTTGTCGCTCAGCGGGTTGTGCTGCTCCACGAGGCCAGCGCACTCCTGCCCGTTGTAAGTGACCAGGACCTGAAAAGGGCACGAGGGGCGGTTTGTGGGTGCCACCCACCGCCCCGCTGCTCCCGGGGGATGTCCTGCTGCAGCACAAGCAAGCCTTTGCCTGCCATAGGATCCCCCCTCCTCCTCCTCCCACAGCGGAGGGGGCCACAGAGGGCTTTAGAACGAAGGCATAGCCTGTCCTGAAGGGCTTGGACTTCAGACTGCTATCACAGCAAACCAAAGGGGTGGACAGGGTTCATCCCAACCCCACCACCAAGAGATCTGCTCTTCCCGGACACACGCTCCCCGACTCTGGCAATCCCAAGTTGAGGCATTTTCTGAGCCAGTATCAGCCGCCTCTCTGAGTGTCATGACTTTGGGTGGATTTTGATCTGATGAAAATGTCTGCTTTGGCTTTGTTCTCACACCATCCTACTGCAAGGACTCCCACAATTATTACACACCCTGGCAAAGTACATAGATAAAAGGATTAAAAGCTAGAGGGCGACGGGGTAATGGTGGTTTCCCAGGTGAAGTGGTCCTGAAGGGATCCAAAGGATCCAAAACCTTGTTTCCTCCAGTCCCAGCTCCTTTGAGCAGGGGAAGGAGATATGCAAACCTCACCTCCTCCTTCACTGCGTCCCAAACTCCTTCTGATGGGCAGTTTTCCACCACTACCACCCATGAGCCTATTTCTGTTAATGGAAATGTATCTGTGTCAAAAGACGCTACATGTGTCTCCAGCTATTTATAGGAACAGGAACATCTCTTTATGGAAGCACCACAGGTGCCACACCAAGAAGCCGATACGGGATGGACACGTGCACCAATACCCTGACCAGGGAGAAACCTGCGAGACCATCTCAGGTGGGACCTCCAGCAGCAACACCGCGGTGGAAAAAGCCACCCACAGCACCACCAGGGCTAAGGGAATCAGTGCAGGGATGGGGACACAGAGCAAACTGACCCCATTTTCTGAAAACAAGGAGCAAGTCTTCCCCGTGAATCACATGGGCTGTCCCCCAGAAGACCACGCATGGCACGAGGAGCCAACGTCTCCTTCGGTTTTGCACAGCCAGCGGCATAGGTCCCGGCAGTTGCTGGGAGGTGAAGGCACCCCATCACTACTTTTATGCCATTGCCAGCAGCAAAGCAAGCAAGCAAAATCCTCCATGGCGGAGCACGTAGGAGAAAACAACTCTCACTGTCCCATGGTTAATAAACACAGGGCAGGAGCAGCCAGAAAACCGAACAGAGACCTTATTTACACTCTATTTCACAAGCTTTGCCCAGAAAAGGTTTTACAGTTCTGCAGGTAGCAGCCAAGAAACAAGTTCTATGTCAGCAGCCCACGGCTCCCCTCGGACAGTACTCCTTAGCCAGGCATTAATGGGAACCATTCTGGTGGGATCGAGAACGAGAGCTGTTCCTCGCCCCTGGCAGCATCCTGGCCAAGGCACAGCCCTCCTAAGCATCAGGAGCTCGGGGCACAAGAAATGGCAGGGTCCAGCAGGACTAGATATCCCTTCTGAACAAGCCATCGCACCTTACTCTTCTCTAAGAGGTTCTTCACCACTTATGTCCACACCCTCGACCCTCAACCCTGCAGCAAAAAGCTGCTGCAGAATGAGCTCCAAGGCCTGAGCCATGAGGCTCATTGCCACTGTGGCTAAGCTGGGGGGCTCCCTGCCACTTGCCTTCAGGTGCTAATGTGCATTATGGGGAGGGAGGACAAGTTCATGGAAGAAAAAGTCCACTGGGAGCCACTAGATGTGGAGAAACCATCTCTCTCAGCTGCAGACAGTCAAGGAACACTGGAGGCAAGTGTCAGGTCTTCTCATCATCTTCTCTGGAGACCCACTTTTGGCTAAGATTGGAGACATCTCCTGGAGGGGATGGATCTCCGCTTGAGCTGGTACAGTCCAAACCCATGAGGCACGGCCAGGGCCAAGTGCACTAAACATCAACAGCCACTAATGACCCTCAGTAATTACAGATCCCCACTGCACCTTACATTGGGAGAGTTTTCTCCCCCACTGGAGTGCAACCCACCAGCCAAGGACACCAAGAGCCTCCTTACGTACTTGCTGCCCGGCGTGGAGCTGCCGGCGGCCGGGGCTGGGAAACCTGGGTGCCTGGCTGCTCTCCTCTGCTGCCAGCGCGCAGGATCCTTCCTCTCGTGGCACCACGTGGGCAGACACCCGGCCAAGGTCGGTCTGCAAGCCGGGGATCTGGGTGGCCACCAGCACCCCCTCGGCCAAGGCGCTGGGGGCAGAGACACGGGTGCCTAACAGGGAGCGCTTCCCCAGGCGCCTGGACAGCACGCTCGCCATCTCGGACACGCTGCGGAAGAGAAAGACACAGGGATGTTACCTTCAGTGCGGGACCATGACTTTCAGCTGGTGTCAAGAAAGCAGCTCTCCACCGCTCCAGCATCCCCAGGCACCAAGACCCCTTGGGGACGTGGGGACAGTGGTGTGCCTGAGCTCCCCCCACCCTGCAGCTCCTGCTTTCATGGTCATTTCTAAACCCCTCTGGAAAAAAAAAAAAGGGATGAGCCAGCCCGAAGGAAACCCCATGGATGCAGTCAGGACAGCCCTTGGAGCCCACAGCCCCCTCTCAAGCTGCCACTGGCACACGTTCCCCAGGCCATCACAGCTACTCCCACCCATCATGCTGAAACCTGCTGTCGATGCTCTTCAACCTCGACCTCTAGACTTGAGCCCGTGCCCAGTGCAGTCCTGTAACTCCTCTGCCCGCATCCTGGCAGAGGAGGAAAGCTCTCTGGCAGCGAAAGCCAGAACCCCTTCTCAGCCTGCACCCCGATACTCCCCTTTTTGGGACCTCTCGTGCTTTTGGGAGAGGTTTCTCCAAGATCACAGCTTGTGCTCAGCACTCCCAAGGGGGGTCTGGTAGCAAAACAGGAGCATCCTCCTGCCTTGCTTTCTTAGAAAAGGAAGAATTTGGAGAATTTTTATCCTAAGCTGTTTCTCTGTAACTCTTTTCAACCTATTTTTGCCCCTCAAAGAGCTTCCTTCTCCTCCGACATAGGTTTTCCTGGTGTTGGTGTGGCTCTGCTAGCAAGCCTACCCAGAGAGCAGCTTGCCTGGCTTATTTGCTTGGGTTTATAGATTTTACTGCTGTTTTAAAAGAAACAAGGGTTTACAGGTTGCCTTATAAGCAAGGGACACTCAGGCACGGGGACAGATGATGCACCCAGCTCCGATGAATCTGACAGCTCCAGCAGTGCTCGCTCTCTTCCTCCACCCCATCCTCCTCCCAAAGCCTCCTCTGCTGCAACACCCTCTCAGAGGAGCACGGGAAGCGAGGATGCACACCGTGGCGAGGTCGAGGGGTGACAGAGCCTGGGGTTCGGGAGCAAGGAGAGAAGGCAAGAGGCTTGGTGCAGCCCTGTGTCTCAGGATGCACTGAAAAAGCTACGTGCTTTCGCACCACCAAGAAACCTGTCGCCTTTGCCAGCAAGCATCATCCAGGTAGCCGGGGGCTGCGCGTGTTTGCTGGGTGTCTGGGTTGCAGCGTAACCTGGGCCACAGAGAGTCCAAGTACGAGGACCTGCTGCTTGTGCAAGAGAGAGGATTAACCCTGAGCAGCCGGGCACTTGTGCCCTGACACTCCCCTGCTCGCACAGGGTCGCTGCAAGAGATGCTCAGTTCCCCGTCACGAAACAGCAGCATTTTAATGGCTTTTTTTTTTTTTTTAAATCTGATTTACGCAGCGCTGTCTTGCACACTATCTCGGATGAGAAAAGTTTTCTGAGGAAGGGAAGGGGAGCTTGCTGCTCCTCTCAACCTCCGACCATCCCGGGAAGGGTTACTCCAAACCACGTCCCGCTTCAAAGGACACCCAAGATTTACAAGCGGTTTTATGAATAACTGGACGCACTCGGCTGGCTTTGTCCTCCCCCAAAATCTGGCTGTCCCAGAGTAGAAAATTAATAGCTATTTAGGAGCCGTAACGAACAGAGCAGGAAGCACAGGATAGGGTGCAAAATGGATAGTGCCGGGGAGAGCACCACGTGCCAGGGCTGCCTGTCCCACAGCACACGGGGACTTCACCGCCGTCGCCGCCTTCCCTCCGGAGCACGATCAAAGAGGCCGCGGTGGCTGGCTAAGCGGAGCCACTCCCCGGGTTTCCCTCCTATCTCGCCCTGCCCGAGGAACACCTCGGACTTTGCAGCACATGGGCATCACTGGGGGACGTTCTGGAGCCCGCTCTGTCTGATAATGTCTTTTTTCCCACAGTGCAACATGTTTTCTGATGAACAGAAGTGACCTGGCCAAGCAGCTCTGCTCCCAAATCTCCTATACACCCACACGAGACTTTCTCATCTAAAAAGGAGACCGAAAGGGCTGGTGGGGGGGAGACACAGTGGTTTGCCTCAAATCCCAGAGCGAACCTGTGGCAAAGCCCCTCTACCTCACCACAGGAATTAACCACCAGACCACGTTTCCTCCTGCATCGCCTTAAAACCTCGCTCTCAGATATCCCGGGCACCGGGGTTTGGGAACTGCCCCTTCAAGGACTCAGGGAGTCGGTGTGGCAACGTCAGTGCTGCCACCACGTAAAGAACGATGCCGAATCTCCACCGCCTCCCCTGACGGTCGGCGCACGCCGGTTCCAAGTCAGCACTTGGCCGGCGGCCAGGTGCGGGGAGGGCAGTGCTGAAGGTGGGAGGCTGCTTCTCATTTCCTTCGGGGTTTCATTTAGCCTTCCCTTTCCTTCCCCCTCCTCTCCGGGGCGGGGGGGAAGCAGGGAAGGAGGAGAGGGGCACGCTTGCAACCGGGGGAAGGAAAACCCTCCCAAAAGCCAGTTTTCAGAGCCACATCTGCTTCCAGCAGACCTTTGAATGCCGGATCCCATTTCAGTGCTCAGCCCATAGCCAACGGTGACACGCCAACGCCAAAAAATCCTTTCCCCCCGCCCCGTGCCCCTAAACACAAAGCAAGAAGAGGAGCAAGGGGCTGGGAGGGCGTCAGCGGGGCAGGCG